CACAGAGCGTTTGTGAAGGAGTTTGTCAAGTGCATATGTGAATGTGCAGTGCAGAAAGATGGGAACTGCCATCTGGGGCCATCTCATTGTTGTTATTGTAGAGCTGGGTGACATTTTTCATCAAAACTTGCTTGGGCAAAAAAATGCAGAATCTGTGAAACCAAAACATTTCACTAATTTATAAAAAGCGACAGAGTCGATGAAGTGGGTATTCACCCACGAAAGCTTATGCTCCAATACGTCTGTTAGTCTATAAGGTGCCACAGGACTCTCTGTTGCTTTTTACAGATCCAGACTAACACGGCTACCCCTCTGATACTTGTCACTAATTTATGTCGATTTTGCCAAATTGTTTCAGTTAAAAAAACAAAAACAAAAACAAAAAAACAAACACACAAGAATTCTTTTAAACAAATCAAGACATTGTGTTTGGAAATTTTCAGAATGAAATGTTTTGATTTTTCTATTCAAATTGACTTTTCATTTAGAAATTTCCTTTTATTATTATTATTTTTTTTAAATTTCAACATTAAAAACTACTCAAAATTGGAACAAAATGTTTAATTTCAGATCATTCAACCTGAAATGAGGGGGTTTATTCTGATTTTTTGATTTGCCCAAAAATTTGTTTTCAGTTCAAACTTAAACTGTTTTAAATATTATTCCTTTCCCCTTCCCCCACACATCATTGAGCTGATCCAATGCCAATCCATTGAAGTCAATGGGAATCTTTTTACCAATTTCAGAGGGCTCAGTGTCCGCCCCTGCATCCAATTTAATTGGGCCCAGCTTCAGGTAAGTATCACTATTTGGCACAGCACTGTGTGTTTAAAGTTAGGCACATGCTCAAATATCTTCCTGAACTGGAGGTCTTAGCAGGGCTGCCCAGAGGATTCAGGGGGCCTGGGGCAAAGCAATTTCAGGGGCCCCTTCCATAAAAAAAAGTTGAAATACTATAGAATACTATATTCTCAAGGGGGCCACTGTGGGGCCCAGGGCCTGGGGAAAATTGCCCCACTTGCCCCCCCCCCCCGGGCAGCCCTGGGTCTTAGGTCCTGAAGAAAGCCCATTAAAATCAGTGGGGATCTTTCCATTGACCTCAGTGAGGTTTGTATTAGGCCTTCGGTTTGCAAGCTCCCCAGGCTAGAGATCCTGTCTTGTCTCCATTGGGGAAGGGCCTCTCATCTCATCTAATAACAATTAACAAATGCAGTCTCTTAATAAAAAATTCCACCCTTTACCCATCCATAATTCTCTCTCCGCCAGTGTCAGGACCAACTGTGCTTCTCTAGCTCCATCTACAGCTGCTTTCTCTCCAGGTTTAGCAAGCTTTTCACACGCCATGTGGCTGATGCTTTGAGACACATTGTGGGCCTGCTGTGTATTCTGTGACTTTACTCCACTCATGATCTGGGGACCTGCTTTGATGCCAGGGTCGTGTGAATGGCTATTTCTCAGCTGGACTGCATCCAGGATTGCAGAGAGCCGCTGGCGGTTACATTTCTAACAGGACTTGGTACCATTTTCTTTCCCAAATGGGGGCTAGGAATGGCCTTAAATTCCCTTAAGGAAACCAACAAACTTGTGACCCCAAGAAACAAAATTAAATATTGTTTTCAAATAGAGTTCGTGGTATGGTTCCATTCTCTCTTGGGGGATTATTATTATTATTAGTTATTTGTACTGCGGTAGTGTTTGGGAGCCCTGGTCCAGGACCAGGACCCCGTTGTCCACGGTGCTGTACAAACACAGAGCAAAGAGTCAGTCCCTGTGGTCTGCAGACCAAGTCTGATCTGTGGCATCCCAGAGCCAATGCCCTAGACACTACAGTGCCAGCATACAATGCTCCACTCTGAGCACAGTGGGGGCTGCCATTTCCAGACTAGAGGCGATGGCAGCTGTGATCTATTTGTGCTACAGGGGAACCTCAGAGGTGCCAACAAAGATCTGGGCCCATTGCACACAGGCATTGTACAAACCCATCTTGAGACATGGGCACTGCCCTGCAGAGCCTATGACACAGCACGAGAGGGGAAAGCAGCACCATAGGCAGGCGACACAACATACCCAAGGTCACACAGCAAGTTAACGGCAGAGTCAGGAATAGAACCAAGGTCTCCTGACTCCCGGCCCAGTGCCGCAGCCACTAGACTGCAATGTCTCTCAGTTACTCTATGTTATGCAAATCAGGCCCAGCCCTTGTGTTCCTAATGCAGCCCTACTTGGACAAAGTGTGGGCATCTTTGGGATCAGTTGCAGGGCCCCTCAGATAAGGATTTTAAGGATGAAGTGTTTTAGTCCAGAAATGTACTTGATTCTTAATAACCCGGAATGTGAGACATTCAGGAATAATGTCTGTTTAGCCACAATTAGATACCAGGTAGAGAAGTGCTGGGCCAGACATCTCAGAGAGTTGTACATGGACCATCCCTGATGAGCACTATTCAGCACTGACATCAAGGAGTTCATAGTGTGTGTAGGAGTTGGGCTTGTTTCACTGAGGCAAGCTGCAATTAGAATGTCTGCCTTGGAGCTTCATTAAAATGAAACGTTACACAGTAGTAAATTCTCCGGTAAATGACCAAAACAAAGCTCAGCTGAGATATTTTATGAGGATATAAATTTAGAAGTGTCATTCCAAAACCATGATTTAATATCAGGAAATCTAATTATGAGAGAGAAGATTTAAACGGCAAAACTGTGACACCAGTCAGCCAGTCCAGAGATTCAGGGAGGGGGCTGCAGGGAGCATTAAATAATCACTCTGCTCAGGGCTGCATTTCACACCTCATTATTATTTACTTAGGTTCCTCAGATGCTGAATGACAGCTTGGAAAAGCCCATTGGTTCTCCAGAGGTGAGATATGCCTCTGGACATTAGAATGCTCTCACACTGGAAAAGCGATGGGACCACTGGGCTTACCCTGAAAACACCTCCCATTCTGGAGGAAACAGCTAGCTAGCCTAGCTTGAAGAATTCCCTGTGTACTGTCTCTCTAGCACAGTAATCCTACCAGTCTGACAGCGTGAGACCTGGGCTGGAACAGTCGGTGCCTAGCACTAGCTGGCTGGGCACAGTCTTCCTGCGTGATCACAAGTCTCTCACAGAACAACGGGAATCACAGCGCTTCCCTATTTCATGGGGTTAGAGCAGGGGTAGGCAACCTATGGCACGTGTGCCGAAGGCGGCACGTGAGCTGATTTTCAGTGACACACTGCCCAGGTCCTGGCCACCAGTCCGGGGGCTCTGCATTTTAATTTAATTTTAAATGAAGCTGCTTAAACATTTTAAAAACCTTATTTATTTTACATACAACAATAGTTTAGTTATATATTATAGACTTATAGAAAGAGACCTTCTAAAAACATTAAAATGTATGACTGGCACGCGAAACCTTAAATTAGAGTGAAGAAATGAAGACTTGGCACATCACTTCTGAAAGGTTGCTGACCCTTGGGTTAGAGGCTCAGATTCCATGGCAATGGAAACCATATAATTACCTAGATAAAGGACCTGAAATAATTTCATTTCACTAAAGCTGTATTTTGCCAGGACTTTAAAACAAACACAAGGCAGTTGTTCTTCACACAACGCACTGTCCAGAAGCTGGGAGTGGATGACAAGGGACGGATCACTCAATGACTGCCCTGTTCTGTTCATTCCCTCTGAAGCATCTGGCATTGGCCCCTGTCGGAAGACAGGATACTGGGCTAGGTGGACCATTGGTCTGACCCAGTATGGCCGCTCTTATGTTCTTAAACTGATGGTCTATTACATGGATGATGAGAAACCACCACAGTAGTTTAAAAGCTGGCCATAAAGGGTCAGATCTCCAAACCTGGCTTCCATTTTTTGCAGGTGCAATTTTGCAAATGCAACAGATTTTGAGGAAAAGCACAAATAAATTATGGATGAAAAAGTGTGCTCCCAAATCCAGGTGCCTAGTTTGAAAATTAGGCCTTAATAATGACTCAATCAGTCTTCCTTCTGCAGGTTTTCTGATGACTGGAGTTCAAATGCATAGAACAGGTTAATGGAGATGGGTACTTCTGATTATAATTTAATGCACCATACGACAAAGGCACTGAGAGCCTTGGATCGGCCCCTTTTTAGTGAAATTGTGAGAGTCACACAAGGTAAATAGGTAAAACTGTTGCTTTGGAACAATACAATTATGTGCAGCAAGGAATATAAAACTTTCTTCAACTCCAGTTCAAGCTTTTATCAAAATGCAATTAACCACCAGGCTCTTATGGATTTTACCAGAACTCGAGTACTCTGGTGATAAGCCTGGGTGTAAGAACCTGAAGAGAACAGAACTGAAACCACCCGATACAACAGAACTCTAGGTGAGGTGGGTGAAGGCCTTGCACCAGCCAGGGTGCGGGTGGGTTTCTGCTTTCTGCAAGAAATCAGCTGCTCATTGCACCTGGCGAGTCCCCGTGCCCCCCGTAACAGGGCAATGGCCTCATTTCACAGCTGTCTGTTTAGAACAGGTTCATGCTGCAGCAATGTGCTTGGGGGATGCACACACCTCTCAGCTGTGAACCCCATTCATGTATTTCTAGTGTCAAGACACTGCAGAGGAAACATCAGATGGAAATTTATGCCACTAACCACATTTAGATTTAATCCCCACCCGCCGAGCCAAGGAACCTCAGAACATTGGGGTGTTTCTGTCTCCAGGCAGGAAGGGAGAGTCCTTTACTCTCTGATGGTGTCTTTACCTGCACAGTGCAGAGACATAATCCTGAGGATACCGACTGAGAGTTTTAACCTTGCTTACCAAGGGACTAAGTTCCTCAGGCTTTTCCTTGCCCCTGGTGCTTCCCCCTCCCCCTTCCGCTCAGCGTGCCAGTTGTTAGATGGGACTGAAGAGGCCGGGTAGTTCATTCAGTGCCTGATTAGCTCTAGTGTCTCACAGACACCAGTAACTCAGCCGGGGGGGGCTCTGTCTCTTGGTGCTCCAAGCTTCCCAGTCACCTGGGCGGGGACTTACCTGGAGGGAGTTCAACACGATGAAGACATGAGCCCAGATGATGCTGAGGTGAACCAGGACCCCACACACCCACGTCAGGCCCAGGACTGGCAGCAGCACCAAGATGGGCTTGGCTGTGGCCCTGTTAGAAAAAGAAACTCAATGTGACTTGGACTCATGGCAAACCTCCCTCATTCGGGGTCGGGGGAAACGTAGGGGAGCAGGAGAAGCAGAGGCCCTGCCAGTCCCATCTCTGCCCTGCCTCTTAGCAGCATCCATCTGCCACTTCTCTGGCTGCATCGCCATCCTGCTCTGCATCCTTGGGTTACACTGCTCCCTGCTATCGTCTCTGCAGGCTGCACCTCCCTCCAGGGACCTGGGAGCAAAGCCCTCCCCAGCATCCAGCCTTGCCCTCTCCCTAGCTTCACTTCGGGGCATGACTAGAGGGTTTTGCCCTTGTCCTGCAAAATTAAACAGCTTTTCGCTTTGAGCTGGTTGCTGGGTCTTTCTGAGGTTACAGGCAATGTGAGAGACAACAGCCCTTGGAAGACACCTTAGTTTGAGGGGACATTGGCTGATGCTCTGATGTTTAGATTCTCCCATTTCGTTGCTGGAAGTGCCTCCTGCAAGGCAGCACAAATGGCTCCCCCAGTAGCTAAGCTGTGTGCAGCGATTGGACATGGCAAGAGGGAGGGACCGGAGAAGGGGTTGCGAAATGCTTTGAAAACATAATGTAACCACCCCAGAAAGCCAGAGGAGAAATGCCACATGCTTTATCTCCCAACCCCCACTCAGCCACCCCTGCTCTTTATTTATAATTACAAGTGAGCTATAAGGGAACTCTTTGACATCATTAGACACAAGAAAGCAGCCAATCTCCCCCTGCTCGCCGTTGCCAAGAGGGCTTCTGTATTTGTTTTATTAGCATGTGTGTGTCATCCTGCCCTCCAACATCACCCTATCTCTGTGCTTCTGTAAATTTAGTAAAATTTATTTATGCAACTGGAGGAACAATGTGTGTCTAGCAATGGTGACTGGCGCCGGCAAACAACAATAAAGATTCATAAGGAGTGATAAAGTAACATCTCGAACAGCAGTTTTAAAAATCTCTTTGAATTAACTGATGACTGGAATCCATGTTCCATTTCCTTCCCCATGCATGTCACCAAAACCAAAGCCAGCTCTCCAGACAGGTACTTATATGGACTCAGTGCTATAATATTTGAGAGCCTCCCAAGTCCTTAGGGATTTATTTTAACAATCCCCCTGTATTATCCCTATTTAGCATGTGGGGAAACTGAGGCACAGAACAAGAAAGCTACGTGCCCAAACTCACTCTGGAGGACTGTGGAGGAGCTAAACAGAAACCCAGATCTCCCAAATCTCAGTCCAGTTTTTTTTTAAAACCACAGCACCTTCTTCCCTGCCATTCCAGGTTTCTGGTATTCCATAGAGTTTATGCAGTGCACACAACTCAGGAGCAGAACAGCCATGGCTGCTGACTGTGCCCATATATATTTCGTGCTCCTGAGGATTGACAGATAGATTACAGGGCACCCAGGAGAAAATCAGGAGGCGTTTGCCAGAACAAAGGCAGGCCAGTTTCACTCCTGCCCTGGCCTGATTTCCCTTCCTAATTTTTGGGTACCAAACTGAACCTCAAAGTTTTCGAGTTTCATCCATCAGCAAAATAAGACATCATATAAATCTCACTGAAATCCATGAAGACCCAAATGGCTGGAAGGAACTTTGTTTTGGGGTAAATATCTGCAGAATAGCAGTGCTTTCCAAGCCCTAAAACCATTATGCAGCGTGTGAATTCAAATGCTGCGTGATGAATGTGACTGAAACACAGGACTTCAGGACTCCCGACTGACCCTACCACCAAAGTGCTGGAATCTGGTGGGGAATCTTCAGCTGCTAATCCTCAGGGGTGAGAAATGTTTAAAACCCAAAGAAAAAGATAGGCTGGGAGAGTCAAAGATGCCCAAATCCCATGAAATTGGATGTCTAACGCCCTCAGACTCCTTGGGAATCCCAGACAGAGCTGCCATTGCTGCCTGGATTCAGGCTGGACCAGGTGTTTATGTTCCAGCAGCTGAGCCAGTCTGACAGCACTGGGAGAAGAACTTGCTTAAGGAACACTGGGCTCAGTCCTGCTAGCACTGGCACCGGTGTCCGTTAGAATTGAACTCGGTTGAAGTCAACAAATTACAATCCAACCCGTTGTTCCCATCTGTGATGCTAGCAGTCAGGCCTACCATAAAGCACAAAGTGACTGGTGTGGAGCAAGTGAATCAGGAAATGTTATTTACACCTTCACATAACACAAGAACCAGGAGTCACCCAATAAAATGAAGACAGCAAGTTTAAAACAAACATAAGAAAGTACTTCTTCACCCCATGCCCAGTCAACTTGTGGAACTCATTGCTAGGGGATATTATGAAGGCCAAAAGTACAAGTGGGTTCGAAAACAATTAGGCAAATTCATAGGTCCATCAATGGCTATTAGCCAAGACAGTCAGGGATTCAACCCCCATGCTCTGTGTCTCCCTAAACATCTGACTGCCAGAAACTGGGACTGCACAACAGGGGATGAATCACTTGATAATTTCCCTGTTCTGTTTATTCCCTCTGAAGCATCTGACACCAGCCACCGTCAGATGGCAGGATACTGGGCTAGATGGACCATTGCTGTGACCCACTATGGCTGCTCTTATGTTCTTACCCTTTGATTTCAATGGGAACTGCAGATGCTCCCCACCTGAATCACTGATTTAGGAGACTAAGTGTCAGCACCTGAGTGTGACAGTGTTGGTCCTATTTCCTGGTGTCCCATTCATCAGGGCACAGATTGCTGAGCACAGACTGTTGCACTGCTTCTGAAATACTATACAGATGAAATGCATAATTACTCTGGAGGAAAAAAATCTGGATCGTGTTCCTGCCTTTAGAAGCTGCCATTACACACAGCATGTGGCCGTACGCC